ATCACCGACTGGGCGTGGAACAGCAAGAAGAAGCACGAGCACGACCCGAAGATGTGGTATGTATTGACCAGTCAAGAGAGGAAGCATGGGACAAGGCTAATCAAATGATAGGGACAATCTGGTCGACAACTTCTCGAAGCACAAGGATGAAGTTGAGAAGATCTTGGCTGAAGGTGTAAAGAAGCTATGATTGCGGCACAGTTGGGATTAATAAACAGATATCGGGAGCGACATGCAGCGGCGGGTCCGTGGATCTCTCGGTAAATCCTTCCTAGCTTTTGATAGTAATCGACCAGGGTTGTGCATACAGACATATGCAAGTGCGTAAATGCGATGTGAAGGAATGGGATGCTGCTCAAACGGGTTAGGCGGCGTTGACCCCGCGGGAGTCAGCCCCTGCCACAGCCACAGGCGGGCGAGTGATCTCATCGCTGTTTGGACACAGATTTGTCGCCATGACTCTAGACTGACCTCAACGCGACTGCGCCGTGTTGACGCCCTTTTAATGATTGTCCCTGCAGCGCAGCTCTGGTGAGAAACGCCCTTGCCGTGCTTGTTTTGTTGACTCATTGTTGTTGCGCACTTGTTGTCGACTTTTTGCTTGCTGCCTGACCGAATGCTCGCTCGTCTTATTTCATTCTCCCCGCTCCCACGCATCTGCATTGCACCACCCACCACCTTCCGCTTACCTTCGCCTCTCCCACAGATACATCGTCGATTGCGAAGTGCTACTCGAACCTTCCCCACGATTTCACGGTCCTTCCGATCGACGGCCATCATGGCGCACCGCGACCAAGCACCGTATGCGCCCCAAGACCCGAAGGAAATCACCGAGCTGGTCCACACCCTCGAGGCGCACCAGGGCAAGAAGGGCAAGGGCGGCTTCTCGGTCAAGAAGCACACGTTCCCGCTCCCCAATGGCCGCACCGTCGACTCGTGGAAGATGAACGAGTGGGACTACAAGAAGGCAAACCTCCCCACATACGCGCGAGGACTCTTCACATACAAGAACCGCGACGGCAACTACGAGATCGCCACACGAGGCTACGACAAGTTCTTCAACCACGGCGAGGTCCCGAAGACTCAATGGAAGAACGTGGAGCAACACACTCAGGGCCCGTACGAGCTGAGCGTCAAGGAGAATGGCTGCATCATTTTCATATCCGGCCTCGATGATGGTACATTGTTGGTCTGCAGCAAGCACTCCACCGGCCCACGAGGCGAAGAGCTCAGCCATGCCATGGCAGGCGAGAAGTGGGTTGAGCGCCATGTTGCGACGGTTGGAAAGAGGAAGGAGGACCTCGCCCGCACACTCCGATCCATGAACGCGACACTGGTGGCTGAGCTGTGCGACGACGACTTCGAAGAGCACGTCCTAGCATACACCCCCGAGCAGGCTGGTCTCTACGTCCACGGCATAAACCTCAACCTACCCGAGTTCGCGACATACCCTGGCCACCTGGTGGACAAGTTCGCGGAGGAGTGGGGCATGAGGAAGGTCACATACGTTATGGAGAACGACGTCAAAGAGGTTAAGAAGTTCCTGGACAAAGTCGCCGAGACGGGCAATTACGAAGGCCGCGACACAGAAGGCTTCGTCATCCGGTGCCAGGCGCGCGAGACCGAGGGTGCGCCATATGTGGACTGGTTCTTCAAATACAAGTTCGAGGAGCCATACCTCATGTACCGGCAATGGCGTGAGTGCACTAGGGCCTTGATCGCGGGCAAGCCACCGCGTTACAAGAAGCACGAAGCCATTACGAAGGAGTATCTAGACTTTGCTCGCCGGCAGTTTGCCCAGAATCAAGGTCTAGCCAAACAGTACAACGCGAACCACGGCATCATCAAGATGCGCGACGACTTCCTCAAGTTCCGCGGAACAACCGGTGCGGATATTATCCGGCAGGAGCAGCTGAACGGGCCTGTCGAGAGCAAGAAGGCTGACAGGAATATTGTGCTTGTCCCAATTGCGACTATCGGATGCGGAAAGACAACGTTGGCACTCGCTTTGGTAAAGTTGTTCGGTTGGGGCCACTTCCAGAACGACAACGTCAAAGCGAAGAAGGGTCGCGGTCAAATCTTCGCTGACACCATCTCTTCAATGCTCGTCACAAATCCCGTCGTCATCGCAGATCGCAACAACCACCAAAAGCGCGAACGCGACCAGATCATCAACGACATCTCCAAGACCGTACCTGATGCCCGGTTCGTCGCACTGCATTATGTGCACGATCGAGCCAACTACGACCGCATCCGACAAGCAACACAAAAGCGCGTGCTCGATCGTGGAGACAACCATCAGACGATCCAAGCAGGCTCGAAAGGCAGGGGCGAGATTGTCGAGATCATGGAAGGTTTCATGCATCGCTTCCAACCAGTCGACCCTTCAGACAAGCCAGACGATCTATTTGATCTCGTCATCGACCTTGACCCTACGGTCGACTCGCGCGAGAACCTCGAGACCATCATCGCGAAGATGTTCGAGACCTACCCAGCCCTGTTCGCTGGTAAGGAGATGCCGACGGACCCCGACATGGACGCCGCCATCCAGTGGGCCATGAACGACTACACACCAGACTTTAAGATGGATCTGTCCCAAGGCAACAAGAACCAGAGGGGCAACCAGAATCCCCAGAACGGTCAACGAACAGCCCACAACCAGCAAAACCAGCCCGCACCAAAGCCCAAGAAAGCGCCACGCATGGAATACTTCTCCGTCCGCCTCGACCCCGGCCGCATCAACGCGATTCTCGAATCCTTATTCAGAGATAAAGACGCAAACACCGCAAGCATGTACAAGCAACTCAAGCAAAACAAGCGCGTTCAAAACGAATTTCACGTCACCCTCATCCACCGCGCGTCTGCGTCTCAAAACCAGGGCTACTGGGACAAGCTCAGCAAACTCCACGAAACCGCACAGCGAACAAACACTACAGGTACCTGGGAGCCTGAACTAGGAAAATGCGACGTACAAATGGAGCGGATCGTATGGGACGACCGCATCATGTGCTTCGTCGTCCGTCTTAATGGCTCTAGTTCCCTTCAAATCGACAGCGCGGCGGGCACAACAACAGAGGAGTTGCTCTTTACAACTGTCAATCCTACTGCGCATGTCACGGTTGGTACAGCGGCCCAGAATATCAAGCCCATGGAGAGCAACGCGCTTCTCCAGCGCTGGCTCAACGCTGGCTCAGGGGGCGACACGGGTATTGGTGAGATTAGCGTGAGGGGGAACCAGGTCCTGCAGGGGAGTGTGAGGGGCGTGTTGGGTCGGATGTAGGTCGACGACGATTCTTGGACCCTTTATCGTAGGAAAAATGGCCCAAGGCAACGAAGGAAAACGGGAAATAGATGGGCGCCTGTGACGGGCTGAGAACCAAGGGGGGTACTTGGGAGGGTAGGCAAAGGACGGGAACGGAAGGAAGGAGATGAGGTAGAGGCAGCGGATTGCTGGACGCGGGGTCTTCATGAGGGAAGAGTTGCATTATTGGAGAGAGCATGGCGTTGAGAAGGAAAGGGTTGGATGGGGTGGTGGATAGCATAGATACCTGACAAGCATGCCAATGAAGGAAAACGATACTCTACTGTACCATCTGCTATGATCAATGTGTACGGATCGCGGACAGGCCACCATATCCGCATCTCTCCACTTCACACAGGAAACAAAACTAAACACGTCTGCAGCCCGCATCCCTCTAATAGACAGCCGGAAAAACCCCCACCCGCCCCCCATCCGTCAACATACTCGTCCCATTAACATAACTCCCCCCCTTCCCCACCAAAAACAGCATCAGTCCAGAAATATCCTTAATCCCGCCCATCCTCCCCTGCGGAATCTGATTCGTCCCATACACCGGGTTGAGGCCAGCCGTCATATCACTCGGATAAGGTCCCGGACACACAATATTACTCCTGATATCCCATTCAGACAGGAACGTCGCCATCATCTTGCCCAGGTGGGCGGCAGCCGCTTTGCTGGCGTTGTAGGCCAGCCCCGCGGAGACCCAGCGCATGTAGCTGGCGACGGAGGCGATGGTTATGATGTGGGCCATGCGGTCGTCGTCTAGTTCGATGCTGTTCGTTGAGGCGAGGCTGGTGTCGCGGGCGCGCGCGTTTCCTGAGCCGGTGACTTTTCCGGGGGTCCAGCCTCGACGTGTGTTTGCGGCTTCGAGCAAAGGGAGGAAGGTGGCGGAGACGCCGATGACGGATTGTGTGTTTATTGCCATGGCGTCGGCCCAGTTGTCGTAGCCTGCGACCATGGTTTCGGCGAGTTGTTGGATGGACTCGGCTTTGTAGATGTCGGCGCCGTTTTTGGGGCCGATGACGCCGGCGTTGTTGATTAGGACGTCGACGTAGCCGATGTCTTTTTGTATCGTGTCGGCGGCGGCTTTTACGGAGGTGAGATCGGTGACATCGCAGGGGAGGGCGTGGAGGGTGCCGGTGTTGTTGGAGTCGCGTGGGACGTTGGCTTGGAGATCGTTGACGGCTTTCTCGAGGACTTCGCGGCGGCGGCCGAGGAGGTAGATTCGCTCAGCGCCATTTTGGTAGAGGGCTGATGCTATGGCGAGACCGAGACCTGTGATTGTGAGCCTCTGGCTACCGATGCTTTGAGCTCGAGCACGTTGAGATGTGAGGGCGCGGGGCTTGGTGGGGTAGCTCGAAGCTTGAGTAACGTACCACTGCCGCCGCCTGTGATGACTACTACTAGCCCTTTCGCCGAGAAGATGTCGTTTGGTCTGATTGGTGTTGAGACGTCCATGGTGATATGAAGGTTGGAGAGAATACGGAAGATGCAAGAAAAGTGACCTGACTTTCAACAGAGGAAAAGACGGACTTTGCTACTCCGACATGGAGCACAATGATTGCGTCACAGACGGAAATAAGCCGCTTGCAAAAAGATCCCGCGGCATGCTGCGCGTTGAATTCCGATTACGATGGGTATCATACGAACCTGCCAACCTGGTGAACGCCATTCCTTTTTGTGCTTCTCCTGTGCCAAACTAGCTGATACCCCCAATGATCTTGAGACCCAAATTATCCGCGGAGTATGCGAGGATATACCGGCACGGATGCCAGGCAACGTGGGACGCTGGAGTCGGCACATCGACCGTGTGTACAATCTCTCCAGTATGGACATGCGCAATGCGAATCTTCTTCTCTTCCTTATCATCGGAGCCCGCAGTAACATAGCTACCGTCGAAGGAGAAGTCGACCGACTTGATGATGCCGCCGGTCAATTCCAAAGTCCGCGTGCAAATCCATTCTTGTGTGTCCCAGAGTGAGATGAGCGCATCGCCTCCACCTGCTGCCAGGTATTCGCCGCTGGGCGATAGAGATACCGCGTAGCATGCAGAAGTATGAGCGTTTAAAGTCATGGCGTTTTCGAAAGACGGGTACCGAAGGCTTCTGACGCTGCCGTCGCCGGCTGTTGTGTAGAGGTGGTTGCCGGACCAATCGAAGACGCATTGATTTGTTTGGAGGACTTGTTGGTGTTCGGAGAGGATGCTTAGGGTCGATCGGTCGATGGTGACAAGGAGATTATCCTGCAGAATGTCAGCATGTATGTCTAGCATGGCTATTAAGGCGTCTGACCTTTCTACCTGCAACCAACTCATTCCCATCTGGGGTCCATGCCAACGTGAATGGGCACTCGCCGACCTTGACTTCACCAACACTGGCCTTGGACCGTATATCCCAGAACCTAACCATGCCATCAGACGTGGAGCTCGCGAGCTCATTCTCGTTGATTGGGTGGAAGGACACGCGCTCTAGGGCTGCTGTCGTATTCGGCGTGCGCAATTCAGTCGAGTTCTTAGCATTCGTCTTTTCAGAGTTCCAGATGCGCAGTGTCCTATCTGCAGCGCCTGTCGCGATGAATGTGCCAGAGGCGTTCCATGATAGCGTGCGGATGTAGTGCGAGGATGATACGGCGTTTGGGCGAGGGCTGTCTTGGTACACGGATGTCTTGAGCTTTCGGAAGTGTTCGTGGAAGGAGTCCGATTTGATCGAGCGCGCGCGTATCGGAGGCGCCATGTTTGGAATACGATATTTCACGCGACTGGTGAGGGGCTGTTGGTAATGCGACGGCGAAGTTTATGGTTTGTTGAAGCTCGATTGCGAGAAGCTCAAGCTCAAGGTTCACACGGACCACCGAAGCTCAGGGTCGGCCCTTCACCTCCACGATACCGCGGGCAATGACGTACCAACACATGTTTGGTAGTCATGTTGCAGAAGAGTAACATGATATGATATGCATGTCAATGTAGCAGCTCGATGCCTTGTATCTCGTCAAATTTTTTCATTCCAACAACTACAGTAGCCGTCTAATCCTTCTTGCTCTCAGCACCCTCCTTCTGCATGCCCTCGCAGCCAACTAGGTTTCCTGCCTTCTCCTCGATGCCGCCCATTCCTTGTTGGCTGGGGTCGCGGTTCGCTGATGCTGCCTTCATGGCGTCTACGGCCTGCTCCTTGTCTTGCGCACCCGATGCCTTCCATGGCTCACTGCCGGTGACGTTTCCGATGGTCTCCTAGGAAGAAGTTAGTACCTCGCTATGTACATCAAAGGGTTGGAAAGGCGAGTTGTCACGTACCTCAGCGGCGCCCTTGACGTATTGGGCGTGAGAAGAGACGAGACCGGGGTTGTTTGGTGCGGCGGACATGTCGATGTATACGGTGGTTTTCCGAGAAAAGGGTTGTAAAGGTATGTGTAGAATGCCTTGAAAAGATGTAGGTGGTTGGTTGTCTTGCACGACTTGCGCTGGAGGTTTGGCCACTATATCGAGTGACGGGCACGTTGACGTCATCAATCACATCACATGGAGACGCGCTTGAGTTCGCGCGTCGGCGTAAGCATTGGACGCTTCTGCGGCAGCTCTAGTTTCAGTCGCGTCCAGGTTCAGAGTCTCTCCACTCGAAAGGAATAGCCATTGACCATGTGACGTTGATGGAACCTATGGGCGCTGCGGCCGCGTTACCTAGTACGTGTGTGCTTGTTGGAGGCTCCGCGGTGTCATACAAAGTGGCGGATATAATGCCTGAGGCATCAAAATCATGAACGGTTTCGACGAAGCTTAGTTCTTCGAAGGCTTGGACTTCGCAAGCCTTTGCAGCTTGAGCACCTTCTGGTTCAGGCAAGTGCAGATGTACCTCGGCAACTATCTCCACGCCAAAAGATACTTACAAATCAACGGCATTGCGTGCTCTAGCATAGGCGACTTGGACATTTCTACTAGCACCTTTTCCCGACTGATTTATAATTTCCTATCGTCTTTATACAAGAACAGTCGACCCAAATCCTCAGACTCGACATCTCAACATGGCACCCCAGGACTACAACGAAGGCGTTCCCGGCCTCCCATACTTCACCCCACAACATTTGACCTCCCCAGGAACGCCCGCCCCAAACACCAAACAAAATGGCACGACACCAACCCTCTTCACGCCCCTCACTATCCGCGGCACCACCCTCCGCAACCGCATCCTCGTAGCGCCCATGTGCCAATACAGCACCGCATCCTCAGGCCCCACCATCGGCGCCTTGACAGACTACCACATCGCAACCCTCGGCCACTACGCCCTCAAAGGCGCAGGCCTAGTCTTCATAGAAGCAACCGGCGTCCAAGCCAACGGCCGCATCTCGCCAAACTGCCCCGGCATATGGAGTGATTCCCAGATCCCCGCGCTACGAAGAGTCTCAGATTTCATCAAGAGCCAAGGAGCGCAGAGTGGTCTCCAACTCGCACACGCAGGTAGAAAAGCAAGCACATGCGCACCCTGGATCGCCGGCGAACAAAAAACACAAGGCGGGAAGCGTAAAGTCAGCGTAAGAGCCGACGTTGACGCGGATGGCTGGCCAACAAATGTCGTCGGCCCCATGGGCGGCCAAGAATGGGCGTGGGACGAGAAAGCCGCAGATGACGAGAGCAGCGGATACTGGGCCCCTCGCGCTCTCAGCGAAAAGGAGATCAAAGAGCTCGTACAAGACTGGGCCGACGCAGCGCAAAGAGCAGTAAAAGCCGGTATCGACGTGATCGAAATCCACGGCGCACACGGCTACCTCATCCACCAATTCCTCTCCCCCGTTACAAACCAGCGTACAGATGCCTACGGCGGGTCCTTCGAAAACCGGACCCGTCTTTTAGTCGAAATCACCAAGGCCATTCGAGCCGTTATCCCAGAAACTACGCCCTTGTACCTCCGCATCAGCTCCACAGACTGGATGGAAGAAACCGACCTAGGCAAAGCACGCGGGACCTGGGACGTCGAAAGCTCCATCCGCCTCGCAAAACTTCTCCCCGGTCTAGGCATCGACCTCCTCGACGTAAGCAGCGGAGGAAACCACCCCTCCCAACGTATCAACATGTTCGACTCCAAGGACTACCAGATCAAAATCGCCGCGCAAATCCGGAGTGCACTCAAGAAAGAGAATCTCAGTCTTTTCATCGGCGCTGTGGGGCTTATTACTGAGGCGGAGCAGGCGAGGGATATTGTTGAAGAGGGTGGTGCAGCGTCGACGATTTCGCGGATTGGGGATGAGGAGGTGGCGAAGGAGGCGAAGGCTGCGGTTAGGGTTACGGAGGGGAAGGAGCCGTTGGCGGATGTTGTGCTTGTTGCGAGACAGTTTATGAGGGAGCCTGAGTGGGTGTTGAGGGTGGCGTGGCAGTTGGGGCTGGATGTTGCGTGGCCGAATCAGTTTTTGAGGGTTAGGTTTCCGAAGTTGTAAGGTACCGTGTTAAAATGCACGCGCAGTTTTGTGCTGCGATGGGCAATTACAAATCTGAGTCTATGGTTATACCAGACTGTCATGAACATTTCCGCTCATGTCACTATCGCAGTGTTCCGTTTAGGAGGTCGATAGAATCGTTCTTCGGATGTAAGCGCTGGCACGGAGTGATGCCGTCATGTGTAACCTTGAGATGCATAGCCGCCAGCAGGGGGGTTATAATTCGTGACTCTGATGTAGCGAATCGCAACGAGATCGTGTTGTGCTGGTAGTGCCAATAGTCTCAAGAAGGATTGCCGCCCTTGTACTACTACAAGTTTGGAAGTGAGGGGTTACAATTGACGTTCAATCAAGCTTGATCACCTGCATATGTCGGAACTATATCAGGAACACCATCCCCTCTGGTAGACATCTATATACTGTCGCCAGTATGAGCAGTCCTCAAAATACGATTTCTCCTCCTGCCACAATGGACTGGTCTTATTTTCCGCAAGAAGACACGGCTGCGAGGCTACCCACAGCGTCGCAGACCAAGCTTTGCGAGCCTTGCAAGGCTCTTCTCCGAGGCGATAGAACAGCCTACGTTGATGAAGACGAGTGGGAAAACCAGGGTTCACGGCAAAAGTACGTCCACCACAACGACGCGCGCTCTTTCCGGAGGGCTCTTGAGCTTCGATGTGACATCTGTATCCGGCTTTACAAAGCATTGAAACGGCCCTATGGTATGACCAGATCTTTTGACATAGTCTTTGCTAGAGCTAATCTGCTCTTAATACTGACAGGTCAGCCCTATCTTTATGAAATAGAGCCGACAACCTACAAGTTAGACACTCATCTCGAAGATCTTACAATGGTCAGCTTTGAAAGTGGAATTCATACTACTTCTGCTAGTCTGGAGGCATACGAATGTGAGTAGAGCATTTCTCCGTTTATCCCATGTTATCACCGGGTGCTAACTCGTGCTATAGCAAGACCTGATTTGCACTTTCCCCACGTTACCCATAACACAGGCGAAGACGAAGCGATCTCGTGGCTCGTAGAACAACATCGCAGATGCCGAGAGGTGCACGCTAAATGCCATCATCTGGCTCCTTACAACGACTTCATGCCAACACGAGTGCTATACGTCGGTTCTACCGAAGACCAAGCTGTGCGACTTTGTGAAGGAGCCAATACCGAAGTTGGGGCAGGCTACACTGTGCTTTCGCATTGCTGGGGCGCGCCACAACAGCGGACCGTGTTGACAAAGTCCACTGTGAGCATGTTTGAAGAGGAAATCCCATGGTCCCTGTTATCCAAGACATTTCAGGACGCAATTACCGTCACACGCAAATATCAGATCCAATACATTTGGATTGACTCTTTGTAAGGCTTTCGCCCTCAACAATATGGCTATTACTGCTGACTTTATGAAGATGTATCTTCCAAGACGATCTTAGCGATTGGGCTTCGGAAGCAGCCCGTATGCGCGACGTATACAGCAAATCAGAATTCTGCATTGCAGCGACTGCCTCCCCTTCCGGAGACTATGGTCTCTTCTTTGACCGGGATGTCCAGGAACTGACGCCAGTCACGGTTGTAGCTACGTGGTCTGATGCCCAGGACTCACCCAAATGGCCTACCCCGGGTCAATATGTGTTCGGATTCCATTCAGTCATGCCGACCGACATCATCGATCACTCGCCCCTGAATAAAAGGGCGTGGGTCGCTCAAGAGCGTTTCCTTTCACCACGAATCTTGCATTTCACGCAAGCCTTGCTTTTCTGGGAGTGCTGCACGGCTTTCACAAGTGAAAGTTCTACCAAGACCAACGTCAGTCCTGGCTTCGTTAGACCATGGTTCGATCCCAATACGCTCAAAAGGCTGCTATACGACGTCCGATCGCCAGTTCCTGCTGTTAAAACCGACCTGGATCGAATGTTTACAACCAGCAGCAATGACAGTATCCCGACGTCAGACCAGGTCTATCGATTGTGGTGTCAATTCCTGGGAAGATACTCCGGGTACGAATTGACTAAGGAGTCGGATGTTCTAGTGGCATTGACTGGCATAGCGGAAGAAGTCGGACAGGTTCTGAATGATCGCTTAGTCGCTGGTTTGTGGGAATCACGTATCGTCGAGGACATGTGTTGGGAACCGATCCAACTGAGTCGAAGTTCCACGGAATGGCGCGCACCTACTTGGAGTTGGGCTAGCACGATAGATTTTGTATATCCTATCTCATCGCTGAGACCTGCCAATTTCAGCGCTCCAGAAGAATTGGCCGCAGTCAGGGAGATCCGTATGTTAACATCGCACATGGGAGAAGTCG